CACACACACACACACCTGTCGACATGCACAGCTTGCACACACCCACACACTTGCATGCATGCACACACACACACAGCATGCAAGGACTGCTGCTTCGGATCGAATCTTTTCTCACTCCCTCCAACGGAGCGTCGCCTGTAAGGCGTACTTAAAAAGCACATGGCCAGACAAATGGGCCGGATGTGCCTTCGCCGCGATCAGCTTTGTCCGGCGGATGAAATCCTCGCTTAGATAGTTGTGGCTATAGCGAGGATTGAGAGGCAGGGTGTCATACACCATATGTTCGACGTAGTGATTTTTGGGTCGAAGCTGCCATCTGCATAAGTTTGCACTCAGTGCAGCATCGGCGAGCTTATTATACCCAGAGCGATAAACCAAATACGCCGAGCGAACATCCAAAGTGGCACGATTGCTTAGCAATCTGCTCGACTGAAGACATACCGCCTCCATCCTCGCAAGAGCGATGACGACTCCTGCACGGATCCTTAGCGATGTTGTTTCAGCTTTATTCGGCTATGTATACTCTGTATACTCGGCAAGGTTTAGGATTGATCTCAAACGTACGGAAAGGATTGCCAGACTCTATGTTTCAACTCCGAGAATCTGGTGAAACTCGGACCCAGGATGCTGCTCCAGCAGAGAGGTCATTAGCTGGGCCATCCAGAACAGAGCATACCGAGCAGCGTGGGCAGAGAGCAGCTTCTGACTGATCGAGACATAGTCTTTCGACCCAGGATGGAGTGTCGCACTGCTGAATAACTTCTTTGAAGCACGGTCAGGCACACCTGCTTTGCGAAAACTTTGTGTACAAGGAATGAACAGAAATGTCTGCACCCATGTCGCCCTGGAATCCCTGGACTGGGGGTTAAAACGATGATGTGTTGTGAAACTTCTAACCCTATACCCTAAACCCTATAAACCTTCTATATTAAAGGGTTTGGAGACGGTGGATGTTCTGATCGATTTCTCACCTACTACGGCCTCCTTCCTCGCACCAGCTCCGGTAGGAGTTGTAGAGCTTGTTCAGCTCGTCTTCTCGCTTCGCCACCCCGTCGGATAAGTCCAACAAAAGCGAGCACATAACATCTGGCACCACCGCCAAATGCAGCAAATGCATTTGATCAGGGAAGACTCCTTGGTTGTAAAACCTTGCTTCACATAGAACCGGATGCGTGTGCGGAAATACAGGTTTAGACGAGCTTCGCCAGGGTGTGAACCCTGCAATACATGTCAAAGGGGTCGAGCCNNCCCTGCCACGAGCCTCGGCGAATTTGCAGTATGTTAGTATATACAAGTTATATAAGCGTGAACCCTATTATTTATAAACAAACCTTGAAAGAGTGTCAAGTCTTCGAGCCAGGTGTCGTCTGACGATGCAGGGCTTGCGGGCCATAATTAGTGAAGAGGAGGTTGGGGTCGTTCTGTGCTCCGTCGGGGTCTCCGTGTGTATAGACCCACTGCAAAGCCTAGCAGGGGCCCAAGTCAAACTGTAAGTTTATGTTGAGGGTATAGGGTTTAGGATGTAGGGGTTTATATAGGGTTTAGACTACCAGCCTCGCACAGGAAGCAGCACTGCTTCCGGGAGTAGTCTCCTTTGTTTGTTGTTTCTCTGCGTCGTTTTCTTGGGTTCCTAGTTTTCCAAAGTGTTTGCTATATAATCAAATGCTGTCGAGATTCTCTGGAGGAACAGGATCTTCTTGACAAACTCTAGATCTGCCTGGATGCCATCAAAAATGCCTTTGGCAGCTCGGCCCGACCCAGGATCCACCAGCAGCTGGCCAGCTTTTTTGAACCTCGCCGGTTCGTATGTCTTGGAGAACTCCTTACCCCATGGATCGCTCAAGGGGTAGATGCCACGTCCTTAACATCGACATGTGTGTGCATCGCCCTCCGAATAATTTAAATCGTGCGTGTCGATGCTTTCGGTCTATCTATAGTTAGGGTTTAGGGTTTAGGGTTTAGGGTTTAGGGTTTAGGGTTTAAGGTTTAGGGTTTAAGGTTTAGGGTTTAGGTATACCCTGAACCCTAAACCCTTTACCCCTAGACCCTGTATTTCCTTGCAAAGGGGCCCAAAGCTTCCATACTCCATGAGATCACTTGAAGAATCTTGGAGCGGCTCTCGTCGTTGTGGTAGCACATGTTTATGCATGACAACCTCGGGGTTATATGTTGACCTATTTCTAGCTATAGGCTACAATGATGACATATGTTGCACCCGGAAGCAAGAATCGTCCATCCATGGTGCTGGCTCCAGAAGTGCTCAAAGGAGCCAGCAAAGCGAACATCTCGAATTTCTGTTTTTCTTGGATTCGGACACCATGTGTGTGCGGTCGTGCGGGCTGCTACCGGCAGCAATAGCTCACAGAT